AGGGAAAAGAGTGCTAAACTCTTCTCGCATTAAAAATCGAAGGCAGCGTACCGCAGGAGGGGAGGGTAGAGAGGGGCCCTTGTGTGTGACCACGGGTTGGAGTAAACGGCACTATTTAGTGCTGTGAGCGCTGATTTGAAGTGAAGAAAAAAAAAAAAAACGCTTCGATCTCGCTATTATATCCGGCAGGCCTACGGAAAGTCTTACATAATCAGCGCGGGACAGCAACAGCAAAGAATTCTCTCCAGCCCATGTGTTCGTGTGTGTGTTCGGCGCTCTTACGGCATGTCGTCCTGGCACCTGTCTCCCTTGCACTCCTACCCAACCCGGCCCACTGCTCTGGCCTGGTCGTTCGTTCCACTGCTGTATCAGATGACCTCTTGCACGGCGAACAGCGTGTACGAGACGCTCCTGTCGAAGATCGATAACGACCAGATCCCCAAGGAGTACGGAGGGGCGTCCGAGTACGCGCTTGGGGAACACCCTTACGAGGTAAGTTTAAGTCTTAATACCACGCTCTTCATATTTTACTAGTGTATAATTCATTGTTTACACCTTGTAACCTTATCTATGGGAGAGTGACACGGAGTTTGTGTGGCACTTCCTAGGCCGGATAGTGGAGGTAGGTCTTGAGTGTGTGCGCGGTAAAAGTGGCGCGAGGTAAGTTAGAACCACGCTCATAATAGCCTATAGTTCATAGTTTACCCCCATGTGCCGTAAATCTATCGGAGGATGACGCGGGTTTTGTACGCTACTTGCGAGGATGGATAGCAGACGTAGATCTGTTGTGTGTGAACGGTAAAAGTGCCACGTGGCAAGTTTCAACCACGCTCTTCATAGAGTATAATTCATAGTTTACCCCATGTTCCATTCATCTATCGGAGGGTGACACGAGGTTTGTACGCTACATGCGAGGCTGGATCGCAGAGGGGGGAGCTTTGGAACGGTTTCGGCCTGTGCTATGATTTGTATGTTACCCGTGCACCGCCGTGTTGGGGGGTGGATGGAGTAGTACCGCACTTGCGAGGTCGAATTGTGGAGGGGCGAGAGCTTGGGCGGTTTCGTTTGACCACGAGGGCAAGGCGAGCCCCTTGGCTGCCGGGCAGGCAGCGAGCAGTTGGGACACAGCTAAGCGCGCGCACTTGCAGAACTGTCTAT